GAATATACAAAAATTAACTAGTTCGAATAAAAATATTTTCCCCTGCACTTATCAAATGATAGTAGTCAACATATAGCAATGATAAAAGAGGAACGACCATCAAAATTAACACAACAAAAACAAAGAAGAAAATTATAGGCCTTCTCAACCGAATGGATAAGTGTGCAAGCGTTATTCCTCTCGGCTTCATCGGAATTAGCCGACATGTGGTTTCGTTCTCGGAGTAGTTTGGTTTAGCTAATTTTAATTTAGTTTAGTTCTATCGTCTCGCCGAGCGAGGTATTGTGTGGCTGGATATGGTTTTCGCATTTGAGTGATGTGTGATGTGGTGTCGTCTACCTATGATGACTTTATGTGGTCTTACTTTTGCGATGACTTTATACGGCTTCGCTATTCGGCGGTGACCTTTTGCAGTTGCCGATACAAGTCTGTTATACCTACCTACCATCTTGTGAGCCTATGACAGTTTTTATATGGGTGACATGTAAAGTTTTCGTTCATGCGGTAGCCGTTTAGAGGTTTACTATTTTTGTCATGTTTGAGAAAATTCACCTCCAGATTAATATTATACGCACTTGGCACCTATGTATTGTTTGAGATGATTAATAAAATACCATCCTATCGTTGCTTGTAAAAAAATAAAAAAAAAATTCTCATCTTCCCAACCGATGAACTCAAACAATCTTTCTCTTCTTCTATGCCATTTCAATACGACATCTTTCTCTATATTTATTTATAGATTCTTGAAGAAATAAGGAATTTGAACCTTTGAACTTGCTTCTTGCTGGAGAATGTTTCATAAATTTTTAATTGTAATTTTCTATGAGAATCTATTCAAAAAGTTGGTCCTCTTATGGCTGCCAATGGCCATTCAATCCATGGTTACCGACTGGAGTTTTTACGATTGTTGCCTCTGAGTCCATTGGGCAGCAGAGATGAGACATGTAGAGAAGAAGAGAAGAGAGAGAGAGAGAGAGAGAGAGAGAGATTGTTTGAGTTCATCATTCATCGTGTTAGGGTTAAGAGAGGTTAGAAAAGAGAGAACAATTTCAACATCTTTACTTTTATTTGAGTGGACCCAAATAAGAATATTAATTGCAGGATAAAAAGGACATGTGTTCAGCAAGGCTCATTTTTTAGACGAGTCCGCCTAGCATCTCTTTTTAGTGAAACACAATTCATACACAACAAAATTACATTAAACTTGTGCATGTAAGATTAGTGTAATATTGTAGCGTTGCATGCATATATCACATATTTGTAAAAGTAAATTATGTTTCATATGACTTTTATCCGCAACTTTTCTATTATCATCTGTCACTAAAGCCCTACAATCACACAAAAGACCAAATACTCATATACGTTGATTCATATTTTGTTTTGTTTGCAATGCTTATTTCTTTGAAACGACTCAGAAAAAAAAAAGAACAATGAGTTCAAATTCGAATTACTAAAGAACTACAAACAATAAAACAATAATTTTTATTTTTTCCGTTTGACTAAAGGACGGTAAATTGAGTAGAAAAGGATTGCTTTTGATCTCTTTTATATCTAGGACGTTGTTTGGACCAAGAATTGTAATTAGCTGCTATGAATAATTCATACATAAATTACAAAATTACATAAAGGAATATTCAAAAAAATTTTCCCCGGATACTCAATCTTCATTTTTGCTTGTATCCACATAGCTTCGAGGAACTTTCGGGTCCCATAAAAATCTACATTAAGAGTTAAAAGTTGAAAACATCTAGACTCAAGAGTTCTTTTGTCACGTTGAATATTCTTCTTCTCCCTTCGTCCGAGTGAGTGGACAACTTTGCCTCTATTGGTAACATAGAGGAAATGCTCAATTGATGTAGACAAGTCACGAACACAAGATGATTAAAAATAAAAATATGCAAGATTACTTTCTTAATTTTAAATTAATAGCTCTAAATGTTAATGAGTTCTTTCGTGATTTTATTAGGGATATTTTGGTCCAGTAGAAAAATTCAGCTGCTTTCGAATTGAGTACAATTTCAATTTCATTTGATTTTTTGTTACGTCAGTTTTGATCTTGAAAATAAAATATATTTAAAATCCTTAAATTTAATTTTTAAAATTTTAATCTTTAAATGTCTTTATCTACAATAAATCGTATAGGGAAAAAATAATTTGTGTTACTGGTAGATTATGAACAAACATTTATCGATATAGATCTACATAAGAGATGGATTATTAAAAAAAATGGTGATATGTAGGTAGCTAAAATACAATAATATGTAATAGAGGTAGAATAAAAAAAGGTAGTGGTAATTAAATAACAAAAAAAAAATGTGGAAAGGAGTGGAATATACAAAAATTCACTAGTTCGAATAAAACTCTTTTCCCCTGCACTTATAAATTATAGTAGTCAACATATAGCAATGTATAAAAGAAGAACGACCGTCAAAATTAACACAACAAAAACAAAGAAGAAAATTATTGGCCTTCTTAACCGAGTGGATAAGTGTGCAAGCGTTATTCCTCTCGGCTTCATCGGAATTAGTCGACATGTTGTTTCGTTTCTGGAGTAGCTTGGTTTAGCTAATTTTAATTTAGTTTAGTTCCGTCATCTTTCCTAACGAGGTATTGTGAGACTGGATATGGTTTTCGCATTTGAGTGATGTGTGATGTGGTGTCGTCTAGCTAGGATGATTTTATGTGGTCTCGCTTTTGCAATGATTTTATACGGCCTCACTATTCGGCGGTGATCTTTTGCAGTTGCCGATACAAATCTGTCATAACTACCATTTTGTGAGCTTGTGATAGTTTGTATGGGTGACATGTGAAGTTTTCGTACATGTGGTAGTCGTTTAGAGGTTTACTATTGTTGTCTTGTTTGAGCAAATTCATCTCCAGATTATTTTTTAGGTTAGTGTAATATTATATGCACTTGGCATCTATGTATTGTTTGAGATGATTAATAAAAAAACCAACCTATCGTTCGTTGCTTGTAAAAAAAAATATATATATATATATATCTCATCTTCCCAACCGATGAACTCAGACAATCTCTCGCTTCTTCTCTGCCATTTCAATACGACATCTTTCTCTATATTTATTTATAGATTCTTGAAGAAATAAGGAATTTGAACTTTTGAACTTGCTTCTTGCTGGAGAATGTTGCATAAATTTTTAATTTTAAGTTTCTATGAGAATCTATATATTAAAAAAGTTGGTCCTCTTATGGCTGCCAATGGCCATTCCATCCATGGTTACCGACTGGAGTTTTTACGATTGTTGCCTCTGAGTCCATTGGGCAGGAGAGACAAGACATGTAGAGAAGAGGAGAGAGAGAGAGAGAGAGAGAGAGAGAGAGAGAGAGAGAGAGAGATTGTTGAGTTCATCATTCATCGTGTTAGGGAGAGAGGTTAGAAAAGAGAACAATTTCAACATCTTTACTTTTATTTGAGTGGACCCAAATAAGAACATTAATTGCAGGATAAAAAGAACACGTGTTCAGCAAAACTCGTTTTTAAGGCGAGTCTGCCTAACATCTCTTTTTAGTGAAACACAATTCATACACAACAAAAGTACATTAAACTTGTGCATGTAAGATTAGTGTAATATTGTAGTGTTGCATGCATACATCACATATTTGTAGAAGTAAATTATGTTTCATATACGACTTTTATCCGTAATTTTTCTATTATTATGTGTCACGAAAGCACTACAATCACACAAAAGACCAAATACTCATATACATTCATATTTTGTTTTGTTTGCAATGTTTATTTCTTTGAACAACGACTCAGGAAAAAAAAAAAGACAATGAGTTCAAATTCGAGTCACTAAAGAACTACAAACAATAAGACAATAATTTTTAATTTTTCCATTCCACTAAAGGATGGTAAATTGAGTGAAAAAACATTGTTTCCGATCTTCTTTATATCTATAACTATGACATCCCACATTGCCCAGGGAAGTGATCATTATATGTATATTCCCATCCCTACCTAGTACGAGGTCTTTTGGGAGCTCACTGGCTTCGGGTTCCATTGGAACTCCAAAGTTAAGCGAGTAGCGTGCAAGAGCATTCCCATGATGGGTGACCCACTAGGAAGTTCTTGTGTGAGTTTCCAGAAACAAAACCGTGAGGGCGTGGTCGGGGTTCAAAGCGGACAATATCGTGCTATGGTGGAGTCGAGCCCGGGATGTGGTGGGGGCCGGGGGCGGGATGTGACAATTTGGTATCAGAGTCTAACCCTGGCTGCATATGTACCGACAAAGACGTCGGGCCCCCAAGGGGAGTGGATTGTGACATCCCACATCGCCCAGATGAGTGATCCTTATATGTATATTCCCATCCCTACCTAGCACGAGGCCTTTTGGGAGCTCACTGGTTTCGGGTTCCATCAGAACTCCGAAGTTAAGCGAGTAGTGTGCGAGAGCATTCCCATGATGGGTGACCCATTGAGAAGTTCTTGTGTGAGTTCCCAGAAACAAAATCGTAAGGGCGTAGTTGGGGCCCAAAGCGGACAATATCGTGCTATGGTGGAGTCGAGCCCGGAATGTGGTGGAGATCTGGGCCGGGATGTGACAATAATACTGTCCGGACTAAGAATCGTAATTAGTTGCTATAAATAATTCATACACCAATTACATAATTACATAAAGGAATATTCAAATTTGAGCGTAAACAGAGAACCAATGCTTTAAGCTAATTGGACCAAATTCATACACCAACCACAAAACAAGGTTAACAAAAAGAGAAAAACAGACAATAACATAATTCAATGGAAAGAATGAATAATAAAAAAAATTAAAAATTAAAAGAAAAGATTTTTAAAAGAAAAAGAAAAAAAGGATCATGGATGGGTGCCACGTATGTGAGGGAGAGAAGGAAAGGGGAAGGAGAAGGGAACCGCGCGTGAAGAGCAAGGTGGCTGATGGATTTTATAATTTTTTATTATCAAATAATGGTTTCTCGAAGACGTTGTGTTTTGTCTCTATATATATCCCTCTCCCCTCCCTCTTTCCTCCTCATCTTTCACCTTCCCATTCCCTTCATCCTCCCTCCCTCTCCGGTCTCCATATTCCAAGACCCATTACTCGCAGCGCTCTCTCTCCTCTCTCTGTGTTTCTCCATTGACGCTGTGCTTCCAAAAGCTCACAGAGAAAAGAAAACCCTCCAAAAACCACCTCTCACATCTTGCTGGTATGCACTCAACTTCCCTCTATCTGTTCCTTGTTTTGTTTGTGGGGTTTCCTTCTTTGAATGGTTTTTCCTCTTGGGTTGTTGTGTTTTTGGATTCTCGATCTGATTAATCGCCCAGCGATTTCAGCTCAAGGATCAAAAGGGATTCTGGCCTCTTCTTTTTTGCTTTGGGTTTTAGTTGATTATATGTAAAGCTGGATTCTGGAACTCAATTACTTGTACAAGAAGAGCAAAAAAGTAACACAACTTGCATAAAGCATTAGCTACTTTGATCTGTCGTGTTTTAGGCTGCCTAGCTAGTTCACGTGTTTTCTCAAACAAGATTGTCTCTACTAGTCAACCTTAAGCATTGGCCTTTCTGTTCGTTTTCGATTACGATCTGGTTTCTGAACGTTTCTGCTCTATGAACATGGAAAATATTGATTAAATATTGAATAAATATTTGAGAGAGAATTTAAAATGTTTTTGTTGTTTAAGCCCTTCTAGAAGGGCTGCAGATAATTGATAAATATACTCGATCTGATCTTACTGTTTGGTTTAACTTTTCTGCACTAATTGGTGGTGTTACTTTTGTTTCAACTTTTCCCTTTTTTTAAATTTTTTATAACTTTTGGTCCAATGGTTTTTAATCGCGTAAATTTTGATGCTTTCTTGTTACCTTCTCGTTGCCATGATTGATCATTTGAAGTCCTGTTGATTGCATGTGGGCATCTTTCTCTAGCCTTTCGCAAGACGGCGTTGAATTTTCGTTAGAAGCTGATTTTTAGACCATGTTTCTAACGTTCTTGTTTTTCCATGTCTCAGATTTACGCAGCTCCCAAATACTAGTTTCTCGATCGCTTAAGATGGCTACAGAGCAGCTTTTTCCAGAGGTTGTGGCTCAAGATAACTCCATTGGACAAGATAAATGTTCCTTTGAAAAATGGAATACCGTATCTGATGGAGTCGCGGACTCTGACAACAAATCCTGTGGCACCTTCGACTGCAGCATCTGCTTAGACTCTGTGCAGGATCCAGTGGTCACCCTCTGTGGTCACCTCTACTGCTGGCCTTGCATATACAAGTGGCTTCAGTTCCAAGGCCCGTCTTCCGAAAACCAAGATGAGCAGAAACAGCCCCAGTGCCCTGTATGCAAAGCTGAAGTCTCCGAGTCCTCTCTAGTCCCACTCTACGGCCGAGGACAAACAACCAAACCCCCAAAGCCCTCCAAGGGCAAGGCTCCTCATCTTGGTATAGTGATTCCGAGAAGACCCTTTCGTCCTTGTGGGGTTGACACACCGCGATCAGCCCGTACCCCCACCAGTCAATACGTTACCCCGCAACTTCATCATCGGAGTTCTCCTTACGGTTCACAACCAAACAGTCCCCTACAAGAACCAATGAATAGTCCTGGCGTCGCCACAACCGCGATCAATCCAGTAGCTGACATGTTTGGTGAAATGGTATATGCAAGGGTTTTTGGCAACTCGTTAACAAACTGGTATACCAATTCGAATTCGTATAATCTGGCGGGGAGCGGTAGTCCGAGGGTTAGAAGGCATGTAATGCAGGCTGATAAGTCGCTCAGCAGAATATGTTTTTTTCTCTTCTGTTGCTTTATGCTGTGCCTTGTTTTGTTCTGAACAAATTTTTACCTCCCTTGCCTGATTGTACCCCTGTAAAAATGAGTAGGAAGATTATATGAAAGACGTGCGGATTCAACCAGATGAGTGTGTTGCTAATTTTATGTCAATGGTTGAAATAGTTTCTATCTTCTTTTTTTTCTCTCGTCGCACGTTTAGGAGAAACCAGATAGCTCCGGAGTTCCGGGTGTATACGTCTGGTTACAAGGCAGATTCTCTACCGCGTTATTGAATTGTTATGCTCCAACATACACACTACAATGTAGATGTTTAATTTGGAATGATTAGATTGCAGTTTTGGTTGGTTTTGTTGTTGTGATGAATGCGGGAAGCTAATTCTTGCTTGATTGGGATTAGCTTTAGCTTCCGGGGAAAGAACGAGTTCCGGACAGAGATGCTGCAATTCTGCCAGGCCCAAGGGCTGAGGCACGAAAAAGACAGAATATCCAACAAAAATTAACAAATTTATTGTTCAACAAAAAAACATAAAAAGAAAAGAAAAGAAGACAAAATATTATGTAGAAAAGAAGCATTCTAGCCAAGTTTTAACTTGAGCTTGGGAGATTTCTATTGGTGAAAACTACGTGTTCTGATATCCGACTAGAACTTCATTTCTTAACAATTTTTTTGCACACTTCATTCCTTAACTATTTCTATCGAAACACATACATTATCGATAATATTTGATCATGAATAGTGCGGATTCATTACCTTAAGCACACGCCACTGTACATGAAGACTATGGATCCGCACATTGACTAAGTTATGTACATGTGGTCCATCCAAATGACATAATTCTTGAGAATTGTGACCAATTGAGATGGTTAGATTTTCTTATATTAGCTAGTTTATTACCATAATTATGCTTCTTCAAAGGTAGTGTTGGAATTGAGTATTTAGATTGACCTTATAATTTCAATCTCTAATAATTTGTGGTGCTTTGGAATATAAAAATACTCATTAAATCTTGATTTTCATGTTTTTACCAAAAAAAAAAAAAATTAATGCTTAAAAACTCAAAATATCTGATAATTAGAAGGATCATAGAAAATCCTCTAACTCTAATCCTTATCCTTATCAAACTATCAGACGAGGCATGTCCTTTCCTTTCCCACCACCTCTTTTCAAGTTTTCAAGTTACACATAGGCCCACCCATTTGCAACACAACCTAAAAGCAAAACATACATACTCGTGGTGGACCTTGTAGGGTAGCACCTAAACATCAAGGGTGTTACCAAGAAATTATCTTGGAAGTTTAGTATATCATGTAATATATTGATGTGGTTCATAAGTTTATTAAAATTATAATATATGCACAAACCAAATTCTCATATGAAAAATTACAGTTACGTCACGTGGTGCATCAGATACATACAAGAATTCTTCCGAGGGATAAGCAGGTGGCAGAGAACCCTACAGGAAAAGTAGTCGACTCGTTTTGAAAGCCTTCAGCGACTTTGGGTAAATGACAAATCTACGCTTGGATGGTGCCAAAACCAAAAGGGCCACCAGTGGTTGTGGGCAAGGATATCACGGATGAGCACTTACCACATGCCCAGTAATATGACAACCAAAATATTAAAAGACTTCTGGATCTAATTTGTGCTCTACAAAAACCAAAAACATAAAAAAGTTTTCTACCAGTGTATATCAAGAAGCCATGACGGCCCAGCGACTTGTTGAAATTCACGTTGAAATACAAAACGTAGAAAATGCTACTTATGATACACTAAGAATGTTAAATTTTATCTGGATGCATCTTTGCTCCGCGAATCCAGCTATTATTGAAGAAAACGGGCGAAACTCACAGAAGAAGACAATAGGTAGATGGGGACGCGAGACCAGCATGCATTGGATCACCATTGCGAAGACGGAATTTTGAAATTCCTTATCCCTACTGAGGGAAGTAGCTAACCTAAACATACGTTTGTCTTCAGAGAAGACATGTCACCAAACAAACTTTTTTAACATCATCATTGCTTGCATATTATTCTAGAATTATAAGAGAGACAGGGCAAATGTTCACTTCCAGCAACATCGATATTGTTCTTAACTTGTTAATTACCACCTGCACAATTCGTCAGGTACACCGATAATGTCCTCAACTTGTTAATTACCACCTGCACAATCCGTCGGGTGTGAGGTTTTATCACAAAAGGCCTCGGTGTTAGTTGGAGTGGTGTTAGGATATTTAAACTCTTCTTTTCTCAGAGATACAGTTGATGTGGAATATTTCAACAATTACTAGGTGTGTGATTTTATTACAAAAGACCTAAGTGATTCTAGATGCAAATTTTCTACATATAACTTGTATGTTGTTTGTTATATCTCCGGTGTGTGGTTATATTCTCCAATACAAGACTATTGTTAATGCATCAATCACATTATTAGTGCTATTTTGTTTTTGTTTCTTGTTTTCGGATGAACAGAATCAAAACCAATTGTGACAATGTGGCATGTGAATCATTTTTTCAGTCCCACCGGGGATAATAGAATTTGAGACTTGTGAACAGTTGTTGCATGGTCACCTCAACCAAATTCCAACATAAATCTCTAATATAATTTCAGGCCCAGCTTTGAAGGACAATGATTTCGATTTCTGGTAAATGTAAGGATTTCAATTCAATGCAAAGTGGTTGAGAGGATTAAATCATCCGTTCATCACTTTATTCTTTCCGCAATATGTTATCCGCACATTTTTTATTATTTTTTATCTGGTTGTTGGATTAAATAAATTAATAAAGATGAAAGGGTAGAAGTTAATATGGGTGTGTGAATGGCACTACTATTTTTATTTGACTAATATATGACGTCATTTCTCTTTACATGCAAATTAAAATACAGATACACGCACACGCGCACACACACACACTTAAGTTAGTTATTAAAAGTATAAGAAGAGAATGATTGCTCACATGTTTGATTTGTGTGTAAGAAGAAATAAAGAATCTTAAGTAAAAAGTAGCAATGCAAAAAACATACGTCCCTCAATAATTTTGAAAATGTGTCGACAACATATCCATATTCTTATTTACGACTATATTATTTAGACAAATCCATTTGATAGGAGTAAAGAAGTTGAAGTATTTTGCAAAAGGAGATTGTGACAACAATTTTGAGTCTAGTGGGGTTTGGACCGTTTGATGTGCATTTGGAATCTATGGCGGTTTATGTTGCCATTTTCTCGTTCCCTCATTTGTGTTCGTTGCTTTTTCTAAATGCTATATCAACCTAGAATTTTTTTAATAAATCGATAACCTTTTAAAAAAAAAAAAGTAAAAATTTACACTAAATAGGGAACACTTTACATGCACAGATAGATTATTATGTGACGTCTCGTACCAATAAGAACATGTAGATAAAAAATTCACACATTTTTACTTTATGGCAAGACGTTACTGTAATAGTGTACTCGTGTCATATAAATTTTTCTCCACATAATAATCCAACTTTAATAAATTAGTTTCAAATTTGTTATAAACAAAATTCTAAACCAATATCTCTATCTTATAAATAAAAATAAATACGACAAAATGACTGCTTTTGAGTGAGTAATTTGATTAAACGATGATTAGCCAACGTTGTCCAACACTGATTTCGTCAAATGTCAAAAATCACATCAGCCTTATTTTTTGACTTACTGACCAAATTGCAGACTTTGATCTCCATGCAATAATGCCACTGGACGCGCTCCCCATTATTTCTGACAGAATTTTACATAATTTCTTGTCCCTGTTTTCCTCATCTTCTATGGGCCCCGGTTGTGTTAATTAAATGAAAACTTACGTCCGAGATGTTATTGTAACGGTGTCATAAACCAATAAACGCGGTTTCATGTTAACAAGTTAAAGTACACGAATGAGAATCCTCCCCGGATTCTCTTTGTAAGGATCTTGAAAATCTTCAAATCGTATCTGTTTATTGTTGATCGTGCAATCAATTTTCATCAGATACTATTCATATTTAATTTTAAATACGGCGTCCTGCAATAGGCTTAGGACATCGTCTTCCCGGCATACCAGCTTTATATTAGGCACAGATTTATCTGCATCATTGGATATCCGTAGTGACAAACACCTCATATCATTCAGTATTTGCATTCTCTGAATCATTAAATTAAGCGCTATTGTGATTTATCCGAATGCGATTCTAACCTCTGTAAGTTTTAATTACAGAGCATGCATAAGATTATATGTTATAAGAACCAATTACGGACAATAGGCAATATGCGTTGTAAGAACCGATAACGAACAACAGGAAATGACGAAAAGAACAATCCACAGTTCATTTCCTCTTTCGCATTGTTCTTGATGTCAGCTTATTTTAAATTTTTGTGGTTAAATGAAAATCTGTACAAACGTACTTAATCCACCTGAAATACAACGATAACACGAAAGAGAACAAACCTTCCTTTAGTTCTACTGAAAAAGAAATATGGCGTGGACGTTCGCCTTTTGTTGGTTATAGAACCAAACACCTCTACAGAATGAAAACTGGTGCTATCAACCCCTCTGCAATAGTCGATTTCATCAAATCCTCCCAGATGACTATCCTCTTTCAATTTATCAATGCCATAACCTTAGATTCATCATATGTGTAATCTTCAACTTTATCATATGAAGTGGTTGAAAGATGATCACTCCCTTTCAACAATCTCAAAAGTTCTTGTGATACTTCCCCATCTCTTCTATGAAGTTCACCAATAACATACTTATCTAATTTATCACACAAATCAGCTGAAAAATGATCTGTTTCTCTAATTAATCTCGAAAGCTCTTGTGCTACTTCCACGTCTCCCTTCTCTTTCAAGTATTCAAGACACGCAGCCAAAGTTAGATGATTGAACTTCCATCCTGCTCGACTTGCTAATATTGCTTTTTTCATTGTTTCCACTGCCTTATCCATTTGACCATTCATATGATATCCGGTTGCCAAACGAGTCCAAATGCTTGCATCCAGCTCCTTACCGCTCTCTTCAAGCCGCTTTATATATAAATCGGCCTTCTCCAAAAGACCCTTCTTGCAGTATGCAGTGATCAGCAAGTTGGGAATTCGAATGTCAAAGAACTTGGCCACAGATTCCCATTCCTCCACGATCATCTCAGCACTATCAATGTCACCCAGCTTTACTAATGAACTTAGCACACAAAGATAGCCAGAATTGTATAATCCCACCATATTTTTGTACATATTCCAAATACGATAAACCTCATCTTTATTCCCAATAGTAGCATATAAAGTGAGGAGGACTTCATAAGCAAATTTACTTGTTTTATTGCTGATGAGCTGCTCTGATCGCCTAAGCATTGTTGAAGCCTTCTCTAATAAGCCAGCTTTCAAGAACCCATTTGCTGCAATAACATAACCATTCCAGTCTACATTGACCAAAGGATCGGCTTCTATCTTCATTAAAAGCTTCCCCATTCTGTCTATCTCAGCAATGGCTGCATACAAATTCAATAGAATCTTCAATGTATAACTGTCATAATCAATGCCCTTTTCTTCCATCTCCTTTACTAGAATATCTAGTTTTTCATGTTTACCTATCTGAGAATAGAGGGTCAGCATAGCATTATAAGCTACTGATCCCTTCAAATAACCTAACTCGTTCATTTTCTCGAAAATAGTCTCAGCCTTTTCTGAAGATTTATTCTCTACATAGCTGAATAAAAGAGCACCATACACCTTGAAGTTTCTCAGTTGGTCTGGTATGCTATTGAAGTACGCCTCAGCTTGTTGTAGGCCATGAACTTTTGAGATCAAATCTAGCCGAACCGCAATGTCTCCTGGAGTTAGATACTGGTTCCGTGCATCACTCATCCATTCTGAAATCTAAAAGAATAACAGTTCAGGGTCTTCCAGTTTTATCATTTATTTTATTATTGGTCACAATTCAGGGTCCTGTTTAATAACATGCAGAACACATACTATCAACTTGAAATGATTTGAGTTGATCATTGCTTAAGAAAAAACTTCCTAAGAATTTACAAGCACATGACCAGAATCATCTACCACGGTCATCAACACACAAGCATTCACTAGCATCCACAAAAGGAACTACATCATTATGGATTTGTGCTTCATATTATTACGTTTTCAAAGCATTGTCTTGAGAAACTTTACAGGCTGAAACGTGTGAATTCTAGTAGAATTGCATTCTTAGCAGAGTGATGACAGTTGAAAGTTATAAATATCACAAAAAGAGAGCATCTATCGGACACAACCCAAGTACACTTGAAAAGTATACTAATGACAACCACCCTAGAGATGATAATACAATTCAAATCTAGCAGTGTAAAACATATGTGCCAGAACAAGGTGTTGCTTTTACGACGCTTGTTCTTCAACCTCTTGCTAAATGGCAGTCTCTTTATTTGATCAGGAAACAAAGTGTTGTTTTAATGAAGCTTGTATTGTGTATACCCTGTATAGTACACGTAAACCGCACTCATCATATCTGCTTCTCCATCCAAACAATGTTATCTTTTGCTAAAAACGATTTAAAGAATTCTCCGAAAATGATTATGGGTTATCAGAGTTCATTTCACAATCAATTTCATGTCAACAACCTGCACTGTATATGCAAATTAGCTCAAACTTGTGAAATTTTATAAATTGGGTTATCTATTTTCCATCATAATCTTTTCTATACGAATATTTCTACAAAATTTAATCTCACCGGATTCTGTGACTGAAATCAAAGGCTATGATTGACTCCATTCACATTCATTCCATTTTCTATGGCAATATTATACAAAAACTAGCATAAAAACTAAAAAGTTATTTCTTTTTCTTTTACCTGGAGGGCGTGGCTGTGGCGGCGATATTTACGGAACAGCTTGATGAAACTCTGGAGTTCCCATTTCTTTACATCTCTCCCTTCTTCCACCCACTGATTGAGAATCGGTACAACGGAAACCCTAGGATTTCCGGCCCGGGAGATCCTAATGTACAAAGGCTCAAATGGGGGTTGGGAGGAGGCCGCGGCCTTAATTGAGCAAAACAGTGCACGAGAACTCCCAGAAATGGCATTGACACGCCGTGGATTTGAACCAAAAAGCTTAATCATCGAGCCCTAATTTCATAGAGGGTTTGGGAGAAATTGGGAATTTTTGGGTTTAGGGTTTAGCAGTGGACTATGCTAGCTCGACTATTCTCATGTTTTATGTTTCATGTTTGAGACTTCATTCCACATGTTACGGTAAACCGTCACTTGGCAGATCATGTCAATAATATAACAATGTGTCAATTTTTTTTTTTTTTTTATTTTTAAAACAAACGATATTTATCTACGGCAAGCGGGTGGAGAAGTGTGGGAGTGGACTAAGCTTTACAATGGGTTAGCAATAATGTGATTCAACTTCATCTTTGGCAAGAATCGAACTTAAAACCTCTCACTTACCAGTGAAGATGAAAACCATTAGACTGTAGTACTAAGTGACGATAAGCTATATTTTTTTTAAAATGACTTGAGAATGAAAAGAAGTATAAAAACGTATGGTAAATTTTAATGTAAAAATGTTATAATTGTATATAATGACAAAAATAAACATGGTAGTTGGGATGACCGCAATGATGATTGTGGTAATAACATGGTTACAGTGGTAGGTGGCGGGGGATAGCGGTGATGGTTAGAGTGGCAATAGCAGTGGCCGTGTAGTGGTAAATTGTGGCAGTTGAGAAATCCCCTCATTCGTCAGGCACACCATTTTCCTAATGTTGGCTCCACTTCCCGTCACACAACACCAACTCCAATTTATGCTCAACTCCACGTGGAACTAAACATCCTTTTTTGGACTCCCCGGCACAAATGGAGATATCACAATCTGTACTTACAGTAAGAAATGTGAAAGTTCATTCGGACTGGCGAGTTTTATGACTGCTGCCATCATTGTTGCATTATTTACGATAATACAAACTGTTTATTCGTATGTCATAGTAAGTGGCAAATCAATTCATTGGATTGTTAAATGGTACTCGTTAAAACCCATTTAATTTAAATCACCTTTATATATAATTGTGATTGGTAGTGGTGACGATGGTGTAAGTGAAATCAAATTAAATGGGTATTAATGAGTATCCATTAACAACTCAATGAGTTGATTTGCCAACAAGCCGCCAGCTTCCAGCTGGTTTTCCAGTTTTGTTTTCTCTCAATCGCTTTGACAAGTTAGAAACTCTATTTGTTTCTGTTTGAAATAAAACCAACTGATATGCTGGCATGTTATGCAAGTTCGCAATTTCGCTTCCATTTCAGTCTTACCTTGAAAATAATGCGCTTATCCAACTGAAGTGGAAGCGAAACTGCGAAGATGAAATTCATCATTTTAATTGTCAACACAGAGAGAAAAATGCATTCGAAAAACAGAAGATTACACCATGCACAGGTACTTACAGATAACATCAAGGATTCAAAGTGATGTTTATCACTACCTAGAAAACAATCATAAAGGATTTGCACCAAAACGCTGAGAACTCTAACTTATAAGATCGTAAGTGGGAGTTAAAGATTATATAGTACATTCATATATTCAATTTAGGCGGTTAGCATTGATGTTATTTTTATGAGATTAACTTGAGCTGAGTTGTTTGAGGTGGAAAGAGGTCTGAGAACAGGCATATAAACCAAAACTAATAGATCACCTATAAAGATCAGATTACTTCGACGTCTAACCTGAGTTCATGCACTGCATAATTTATCAGATTACAACAAAACAACTCGAAAGATTTACGATTAGAAAACCTAGAGATTGAAATGCAACCCATCATCAAAGGACAGCAGAAAAGTAGAAAGCAACTAAACTTATTTTTTCTTAAAAAAAAATCAACTATGCTTTCTGTAAGCCATTTGCAGCTACTCTGTGAGGAAATAAGTTCTCTACAGGACTACTGTACTTTGTATAGAAAATACAAAAGACAGGTTGGAGTTGAACATAAATTACAACAAAATACTAACATGTTGATTATAAAACACCGATAAAATTGAAAGCCGTTAACAATTAGGATGACTTACTTGATAATATAACCATAATAGTGAGACCAAGTACAGAATATCCCAACTCTAGTAAAAAAATTGAATTGTTTGACAACATTACTTGATGATCTGCAACCGGCTCATGTCTTTATGAATTTGATGTGAATGTGAGATCTAGCAAGAAGAAAATTCCCACTGGAGTTGTTTAGCGATTGTTCTATGGAATTTAAAGTTCTGCTGAATCTTTTGAAACTTCTCCATTTCTCTCACAATGAGAGGAGTTCCAAAAAGCTAACTTGGGCTTGTTTCAATGACCTTATATGCTTCTTCATCAGCAGTAAACCCATCCACTTTCATCTGATCAAGAATTATAGCAACTGATTTTCCAGCTGCAACACTAGCCCTCAGAAGTCTGTGATACAAATCCTCGGACAAAGGACCCAAGTTTTTTAGTAAACTTATTATCTCTTCAATTCCTTCAATATCTCCCTGCCCTTCCAAATAATCCAAACAGGCCGTCAAAGTTGGGGAATGCGGCACCCAGCCTCGCCTACCAACTGAGAGTGCCTTCTTCAACATTTCAACTGCTTTAGGTATTTGCTGCTTCTCTGTATAACCTATTGCTAACACATTCCATGTGCCGGCATAAGGGATTCTTCCTTCCGTGGCCTTGTTTACAACTGATTCTGCCTTATCAAAAAGACCCCTTTTGCAATAGGCAACAAGAAGCCTGTTCAGCACCCGAAAGTCGTATATTTTGCATTGTGACTCCCATTCCTCAAATATCCCTTCAGCCCCCTCAATATCATCCAACTTTGCCAGAGATGAGATCATGCAGCCATATGGTACATCCACTGGTTCATTCGATGGCTTGTATGTATCCCAAACTCTGTAGAGCTCCTCTTTATTGCCAGTACTTGCATAAAGAGTCAGAAGAAATTCTACTGATTTCCTCCCTTGAAGAGGCATCAATCCCTCCAGCATCTTCAGCATTGAAATAGCCTTCTCTGTTAACCCGACTTTTAGATACCCATTTGCTGCCATTGAATATATTTTCCAGTCGACAATTAAGTTTGGATCTTCCTCCATCCTATTTAGGATAGCTTCCATCCCAGGCATGTCAGATGCTGCAATATATGCCATCATTCGATTTCTCAACGTGTACTTGTCAATTGGAATTCCATTCTCTTCCATTTCTTGCATCAGTATGTTGATCTTCTCATATTGTCCATTTTGGGAGTAAAGATTGATCAACATGTTGTAAGGGAATGAGGTTTTTGCCATACCCATCTTCTTCATCTTCTGCATGGTCGCTTCCGCTTTCTCAACAGACCGCTCTTGCACATAAATGCATAGAAGGGCGCCATATGCGTTAAGCGATTTTAAACTTTTTGACAGATTGTTGAAGTAATTTTCTGCATGGTCTAGTCCATGAACTCTGTGGATTAAGTTCAATCTAGCAGCAGCATCACTTGGAGATAAATCAAAATACCTACGATCCGTCATCCATTGGGATATCTAAATAACAAAAGGATGACACAGAATAATTAGAAGCTGGCAGCCTAAACATATTTTGGTAAGGCTAGAATTAATCTTGAGCACAATTCAACGACTGTGATGGTAAAATTCCAAAACAAACCCTCCATGTTGTTATTTGATAAATACGGAATCGTAAAAATGATTGAACCAAAGATATGTCATCTCATATGACTAAATGAGGAAACTATAAATTCATTTCATCTGAAAGAGACAAACTAGAATAGATTAGAATTGGACAGGTCCTTTTGGTTATTTGGCGACACTGCAATCTATCATTTGTAGCACCCAGTTCACCAAATACATATTGGATCTTGTGGTTCTAAAATGGTCCGAGATTTTAATATCTAGATTGCAGATGCCTTAATTTCCCCCCCCCCCCCCCCCCCCCCACCCCACAAAAAAAGACAATGCTGACACCTGAACAACATAACATTCGCAATCAGATGACGAAACTTGCAAAACTGCGAGAACTCCGAAAACTTTCATGGACCGGGGTTGTCTACGACCCATTACAGACGAAATTGAAATAAGAAAATGTGATCACTAGGATTAAAATTCTGGAAGTCAAAAGTAAAGGACTGTCACATGCTAAGAGAGTTAATTTTGATTCAACAATTATAGCATTGAATGCAAACAAATGAATATAAACATTGAATTTGAAATCCCAATATTTATGATAAATAATAAAACCTATGGATACATAACAAAACAAGTTGCAGCAACAACAACAAAATGTCAACAAAAGTAAAAATAAAAAGAAGAAAAGAAATTGGGAAGTGGGTAAGGAAGATATGAACCTCAAGAGCGTGATTGAAGCGTCTAAAGTCCTTCAAGAGCCGAACGAGCGACTGAAGCTGCTGCTTCTCAACAGCCTGACCCTCACTGACCCATTGTTCCAGCACCGGCAGAACTGAGGCTTTTGGGTCTCTGATGACCTTTATGCGGTCATGGAGAGAATTCGACCACGAAGGCGAAGAAGAAGACGAAGAAGAAGGGCGGATTGAATTGAAAAGAGTGTAATTTTTTCGAGGGTTTTGAAGGGAGAAGGAGATGAGCTTGCTCATGCAATTAAGCTTCATTCTCTCTCTGCTAAATGCTAATGGGGAAGTGTGGCTTGGGTTTTGGGGGTTTAAGATCCCTTCAGTTTCTGTTCAGAGGTTCAGAGGAGTCGGGACAGGAATAAGGGCAGAAGATATCCTCCCTTGATAGGCCGTGGGCTGATGAGCCCAAAATTTTCAATTGATCTTTGTTGCACCTCCAATGCCCCAATATTTTTGCTCATCAGCGTCTGACCCTGAGATATGGATCATCCAAGCCACATTAGCATGACGTACTTCTCCTGTTCGAACTGGGGTTTGAAACCAAACTTCTACTCAGGAGGATAGATGGGGCGATTCAGGTGAGATCCAATGTAGATCCAACTTTCAACAATGAGCCCAGTCATTTATACCATATTTGAACGAGTAAAATAAATTTAGAATTTGGATAAAAATCAGAATTTATAAAATGACACACGCAAATTCCATTGTTCGGATTCATAAACATAGAAATTTAAAATTTCTTCATGGAAAAAAAACTTGGAATTTATGACCTCCAATTCATAAGTTTAAATTTCATGTAAATAGGTGTGTCATTTTCCAATTTCTATGAGTGAGAGTTTAAAAATAAAAAAATTATGTATTCAACTTCCATTGTTTTTTTAGATTAACCAAACAAGGAAATTCACAAATTCTACAAAATAAAATCTCATCATTTCAATTTTCGTCATTTTAAAATTCCTTAATAATCTTAAATTTCCTTATCCAAATAAGGTGTTATGGAATTGTTTTTTGTTATTTTCGGAGTGATTTCTACAAATTTTTTCCTCGTGAACTCTCCTTTTAATTATTTTATTTTATTTTATTTATTTATTTTTATAACAATGGAGATGGCGAAAGGTCCTAAAGGAAAAAAATGGTCTGATTTGTTAAAAGATTTATCTCTAACTGATGACTGAGTTATAATTTTATGGAGCTCACCAAGCCATTATTTGCCCAAAAGGGCATCAGGCTAACAAAATGTGGCCCCCCCTCTTAGCCCTTTTCTTGGGAGTCAACTCCTCAGTTACAATAATTGATTTAAATTTAACGACTAGATTTGAAAACATCTAACAGTAATTTTATTAAATCAACTAATAAATTTAAAATATAAACATAAAATTAATAAATTATCAAGGGGTTATTTAGCCCCTTCGATTGAAGACGAAAAATGAGTATGGCCTGACAATGTTCATATAAAAATAATTTTTTGCAGGCTATAATTCTGGACAATGCTATATTTAGCCCTTTCAATTGAAGATAACCTAAGGAGGGGGGGGGGAGGCTTAGTCTCACAACGGGCTACCAATAATGTGTTTCAAATTCACTCGTAGCACTAAGTGACATGAAACCTCTCACAAGAAAAAAAATACTATTAGACCGTAGCACTAAGTGACTTTTATTTAAAATCTTTAAATTGAATAAATCATAATAGCAGAATTAGCGTAAAAAGGATTTAGGCTACATAATCACGATACATAAATTGGTGTGTGTAAATCATTCTTCTCTCTTTATCAAGCGTAATACAATTTTTTTTGCAATCAACTTGTCTTATGTTTTTTCTCTTGTTTAAATAGGTGTGTAAATCATACCACCGATGGATACCCCTTCTTTTATGTTGGAGCTCTCAAATACAAGTGATACATAAAAGTTTTCACAAAATAGGCAGAGTCAAGTTATAAGTTGCAGCCTGGAATAAATTTGAATAGAGATAGCACAAAATAATACACTACCTGAAACGATGAATGATGAATACATGCCGTTTAATACTTGAAACATCGATGCTATCTGTTAAATGCAGTACAAAATAATATACATACCTAGATACAAAAACATATATTGAAATTCAATAGTGTCCCCCAAATTGTATACAACATATATATCATTTATGTACCTGTGTTAGCAACAGGAATGTACAACATATCTCATTAAGCAAACTAATCCAAACTATCCACAAAAGCTAACTGTCACCACGCCACCACACCGGAACCCGAAGCCAATGAGCTCTCAAAAGGCCTCGTGCTAGGTAAAGATGGGAATATACGTATAAGGCTTACAGGATCCACTCCCCTGGACGATGTGAGATGTTACAACCACCTACGCCTGTCTGTCCACTCCCAAGTCCTACTCATATGAACAACATGAGGCCGAGTGCAAACACACATGCTACCGTGAACTACATACAGCTACATGGTTTCCCAGTATTCTCGACACCAACTCTATTCAATCTGCTCTGTAGAAACGCAGCAACTTCAACGGTTTCACCTTTTCCTAGCACAAATAAATTGAAAGACTAAAACTTGAATTTTCTATTGACTGTAATTAATCTCAATTTTAAAAGGAAATCAGGTGCAGTAACCTACAGAAACCTCAATTCCTTCTTCAGATTGGGAAGGGAAGTGAAATCCCGTCGAGCAATTCTCCAACATTTCAGGACTCTTCATCCATGCTCTACGTGCATCACTCACCTTTATCTTATACTTGAATAGCTGTGATACAGACAAAATCTACGGATTAGACTGCTAAGGTCATTTCCCTGCCTAGCTCTCTTTGAGAATCATAAGTGAGTTTTCTGAAAAGCTGGATATCACGTGCATGCTCTGTCACATTACAGGCATGAAAAATATAATAGGTTTGGCTTGCCAAAAATTAATAATGAAATCTTTAGTCCTTGATTCCCATTCCCCCAAAACCGGAGAAGTAGTTTTCATGTATTTCAAACTTTAAGTTAATGTAGAAACTCGAAGGAAGCAAAAAACAAAGGAAAAGTATAATATAGTAGAATTCAACTACGTAATTGTCGTGCAATCTGAATACCTGAGACAAAGGGAGATTTGGTTTCTCCAGGTCATCGTTATCTATTAGGCTACCAGTGCCCTGACACTCTGGGCAGAATACAGAATTCAGTTGTAAGCTCAAAGCTATCAACTGATCATCTTTTCCATTGCACTTAGCTGCAGTTTTTCTCCTAGATCTTCTCCTGACTTTTGAACTAGCGGACTGATTCGTGATCATCTCAACTTCACACAAAAGTATCCAGTGTATAAGGCAGGAAGTATGAAACACGTGAAAAGCCTGCATGCACATAAATAAAAAATGATGCTAACTACTTTCTTTTGAGAAAGAAAGAGAAAGAGAAACAAACTCTCTTGCGGAATTAAATACATAGATTTACGATATTAAAAAGATAGAGGGTTAAGATGGGTGGGGGTGTGGAGGACAGGAAGAAAAAGAAGACGATGCAAGTTGTGGGACTCACCCCATTCACATTTCGACTACTGCAAGCGAGCCTTCCTGTCTTCAAATTTATGAGAGTGGCTACATCTTTCCCAGGAAGCATCTTCTGTTGACAGATATCACACGTTCTGCCCGAAGCTAAACGCTGTTGCCGTCTTAACTCTCTCCTTATAGACTTGTTAATAAATCTTGTGTGCAGAAGATCATCATACCGTTCTAAAAGCAATCTTGACGTTGCACCGCTGGAAGCAGATGAATCTTCCCCACATGAATCAAACTGATTACTTAGAGATTCGCTAATATCCTCAGGGTCAGAGAAGAATTTCTTTCTCTTACCACTGCTGCATTCACCATTCTCTGTTTCTTCTGTAGGACTGGATGAAAGAAGCATCTTTACATCATCAAGTAATCCCTTCCTACCTAAATCAATATTGTAACTGAAGGTAACGACCGCAAAGTCATGCTCAGGAACCTTGAGTAAATCATTGCTATCTGTCCTTTTCCCCAACCATTCACACCATATTCTACTAATACAATTTGACAGCTCATCCTTCTCGAGGAGCCTTGCAGCAATTTGTCCAAAGCCTACCTGCTTCACTTCTATGTCAGTAATTTCATCCCTAAACAGAATATGAGGAATCGCCACGGAGGAGTTCGCTCCATCAGAATGCTCATTACATTCATGACCACCAGCACCAAAATTCCCATTGCCATTAGATATCAAATTTTCCCCATATTTGACAACAGCAAGATTGTTTTCATTGTCATGAGACTCCATAATCTTACATTTATTGCCATCTGGAACCACCAACTGCTTATCAGTCTCATCTGAATTATGAAAGAAAACCATACCGTCATTAAAAGGCCACGGGTTTGATTGCAAGAGAGTAACCTTAGCAGCAGCTAACCTGTCATTGTGAAGATTACCCTTCAAGTGATCAAACAGCACCTTATCACTATAACATGGCGCAAGGCACAAAGTGCAGAAGAAAATGAACTTTTTCCCCTTTTCTCGTAGCTCAACATATGTGTGCCCTTGTGACCTCACGTTGCGAAGAATTGTTCTTGTTGCTTGCTCTCTAAGACTACTAGCACTAGTCTTTGGAAACCCAACGTCCCACCTTCCCGCCATCAAAGTCTGCCGAAAACTAAGTTCAACTTCGAATGCCAAAGCACCCAAAATTCAAGCTCAAATTCAAATATATCCACTAGCATCCATAGATGAAGAGCTTTCAACAACCATATGAAACTCGATTAAACTCAAATTACAAGAACTTCTTTATATTCCCAACAACTCAAAATGAAACTTTCCCTAGGGTTACTCAATAGGTAATAGCCCCGGTCAATTGACAATTCTAGTGAAAACCTAAGAAGCTCAAACTGGACAAGAATTTTCTAGAAACCCTAGAATTCATATACGAACCTCCGTTCCTCACAAAGATAGACAGAACTTCCAAAAACAAAAATTATCCGAAATTCACCGAACCCCTAGAGTTTCCGTTCCCAATTCTTTAAGTTCGAGGTCAAATACAGCAACACAGCAAGTACAACCCTAAAACAAGGAAAATCTAGAAATTAGCAGAGGAAACCCTAAAATTACATATTCGTAGCGTACTCTGTATAGGATCCTTGAGGAAGTGCGGGGTTCGTCGGTCGGATTGAAGCGCGTAACGAGCGATGAAGAGAATCAAACGAGAGGTGGAGTCCTCCATGGCCATCTCCATTGCAGTCGAAGGTCGAACTTCGTAGCTGTTTGGAGAGGGAGAGAGTGGGGGAAATGGAATGGGAGAGAAGGAGGAGAAGGAAAGCAAGGCTGTTGAGATTTCAATTTCCAGATTAAACTAGTTTTCTGCTTCACGTTATCTATTTTGAATAATAATTTGTGAGGGTATGACATGATTAGTTACAAATACGAAAGCAGAGGAAAGGAGAGACGTATATTCGAATTTCGGACAGAACGGATAAGAGTGAATTTTTCTTTTTTTTTTTTTTTTTTTTTTTTCACAAGACGTAATTTGTGGTTAAGATCATTTTTAATTCTTGTGTTAAAACTTAAAATTTTTAATCTAAAAATAATTTTTCTGCTTGAACGTTTCTGGATTAAATTTTCAAATTATTAAATAATGAATATAGGATAATTTTCTCTTAAAGTAACTATTGAAAAAAAAAATTTATGTTAATTTAATTTTATGAACATTTTAACTTAGAAATATTTAGATTCCAATAAATATTAAAAAGTCATTAAATCGACATCATGAAAATTGTAGAACACTATAAAAGAATATGAAACACATTTAAATTTGGATCGTTAGATTATTTTTTTTAACGTTATATTTAATCATATTAGATTTTAGTTATTAGATTTAATGAATTTATGAATATATAACTAAAAAAAACACATATATGAAGGGCTAGTCCCTAACCCCAAAGGTAATTTTGACCTAAATTTGTCCCAAAAATTAGTGTTGGGTTAAAATTCATATTTGGCCCAAGGGTTAGAGCAAGTTGGGATAGGTTTAGAACCTAAATTTGAGTTGGTTTGGTATTGATGTGCTTTGAAAAAAAAAAAAACTGCTTTTGCTGTGATGTGAGAATAAGCTCATTTTTGCTACTTCACGTTTTCAGCTTTTTTTCACCCAAAACTATGAAAATAAGTTGTTTTTAAGTATTTACCAAATATATTTTTGAGCTCAGCTTTTTTGATACCCACTTTTTATAAAAGCATATCAGTACCAAACCAGTATTTACTCTAAGAGTTGGAATAGCTGCGTACTTTGTTTGGATTTTTTATTTTAATTATAATTTTTATTGCTAATTGCCTGCTTTTTTATTTTATCTCCACACCTTCTCTCCATCTTCCCTGATTTGCTTTGGCCCTTGATTTTTGGTCTCTTTATTTTGAGCTTGTGTTGAGTTTAGTTCACAGCTTTGTCTTAGTTTATGTTGGTGTTTGTCCCAGATTTGGGTTTTACGTCATTTGACACTACTTTTCAACCATTAACCACTGTCAAAATGTGAAGTCGGGTTGCGTACGGCCTTTGGGTTTCTTGCTGGGTTTGCTTTCTTGATCGCATTGATATTATTTGTTCTTGGTGCTGCCATCTAGGTTTTCGGCTTAGTAATTCTCTGTGATTTCCATTTTGTTTTTCCTCATCGTCTTCCTTCAAGAAAGAAAAAACAGCTACATTACGGTTTATGTACCAACGAACATAATGTGCATGTGCTCTTTATACATGAAATTATCAACATATATTTGATATGAAATCATTTTTGGTTATATTTGACGGAAGTCTTCCAGGGAAGGGATCCTTTTTTTTTTTTTTTTTTTTTTTTTTTTTAAATGAGGATTAGTTGTAAGGTTCACACCACATCAAACTTTAACAATCCGAACTATCTATTTTTCAAGTTGTACCTCATAGATCATCCTTACAAAATATTAGCCAAATCGGAAATATTTAAGACATCTAATTGAATTCAAAGAAATGAACCAATACTTTGTTGTATAAGAAACAATAAAATTTAATCTTGCTAATTAAATAAGCAAATGATTTCAGATTGAATTGAATTTTTGCAAAGATAATCTATGAATCGAGACTTACAACATAGATAGTTTGGATCATTAAAATTCGATGTGGAGTGAGCTCCACACCTAATTCTCATTTTTTTCAAAAAATGGAGTTCCCTTTACATAAAAGGCCTGTATATTTGATATCAAAATTTGCTTTCTTCTCACACATTCTCTCACTGTTGCTCTAAGAACATTTACAACATACTCTTCAATGCGACACTTGTGGCTTATGTTTTGTTTCTTGGTGCTTTGAGGCTCTCACCAAATCTCTGGTAGTATTGCATTTGCTGTTTACAAACCAATGGAAAATGGAACTTCAATAATCGTGTTACGAAAAAAAAAAAAAAAAAAAAAAAAAGGAATTATTTCGTTGAAGGTACTAGGCATATGAAAATCAAACATCGGCACTACTTATCCGTACCTGGTCAGTTACAGATGGTGCCATCTTAGCCAGTGCTTGCTCAAAGTGAGATTCTTTTATCGTCCATGGAGATGCATCTGAACTCCTCCCAGGTAATGTCAATTTCTCTTCAAGAGCAGCCATAGCAGCTTCATTCATCTGCACCACTTGATACGTCAGAGAGAATCCCAATCACATCTCATCCCCTTTTTTTTTCCTCCCCGCCAATCAAAGAGAGTTAAGGAAAACTCAACTCCAATTGAAATATTAAACTTAAACATCACAAACAAAAGAAAGAATAGCACAGATATTTAAGCATAGACGAACCAGTGCAGCAAGATCTGCTCCACTAAAATTTTCACATGTTTCCCTTTGTCCAATCTCCCTCAAATCTATACTCTCATCAATAGGCTTCTTCCTTGCAAGAGCTTTTAAGATCAAACCCCGCTCATCTTTTGTGGGAGGGGCAACATAAATAAGTTTACCAAACCTACCAGGCCGCAGAACAGCACGGTCCATTACATCGGGTCTGACACAAGGTATCACATATAAGAGATGCAGAATGATATTCCTTCATATCAACTAAAACTGAATTATATCAACTAAACCTGAAGAATAAATAAATGAGCTTTACCTATTAGTGGCACCAATTACAAATACACCTCGTCGCTGCTCTGCGCCATCTAACTCTATAAGTAGCTGCAATTGTAGGCAGTCAGTTCATTCTATTCATAAATGAATGAAAAACGAATAATTTTCTGGGCAGTCAGTTCCAGACTACCTTTGCAATTAATTTACCTGGTTCAGTAGCCGCTCAACAACCCATCCCCCTTCTTTCCCCCGCTTTGTTGTTAAAGCATCCACCTGTCAATAAGTGAGGGAAAAAGCTTTAAAACGCTATGAAATGTAGGACATATTTTCCATGTCAAGATACGTGAGGACATGAAGTGTAATGCACCTAGTTTCAAACAATCATTTGGATACCTCAGAAATTCAATGTAATGTGTTCAGAAAGAGTGCTAAAACAAATGAGATATTAAACATCATTAGATAGATCTGTATCCTATATTCCTATATAAAAATTATAATTAAAAAAAACACGCACACATGCATTGTCCTCGTGTCTGATTTTTGTAAGTAGACAAGATGGACATCACATCAGTGTTGGACATCAGTGTCAACACCCGGCAATAATGTCGATGCTCACAACAGTATCTAGAAAGTTTAGTTAAATCAGTGAAATTAAAACAACTCCTGCTATTACACACCGTTCTCTCCAAGAAGGTCCCCCTGTAAGTTTTTACAAGAAGCTGCAAACATGTAGGTGAATGACACAAGAAGAACGCCAAATGTTCAGAAGGGTAATGTGCTCAAAAAAATTTCATTTGGTTGACTTCTCAACCAGTTCATTTGGAGGTCAGAATGGAAATATAAATATGGAGAACCACAACCATATCATATAACTTTGTGCAAAAGAAAATTTTCGTAATGTCCTGACTCCTGAAATATTCCAAAGGTTTAGCTTTCTCAAATGATATGGTGATGTGAAATGAGGTTCATTCGAGCACTATGTAGGACCAACAGTTGTTAATGACACTCCAACGCAATCCTCTCTACATACAATTGAATCCAACTTCATCATGATAATCCAGTAATCTATTCCTTTATATAATTAAATGTTCAGATGAAATGATACAAGCCTACGGAAGCCGATAGTATTACTAACATTTGTCAATGAGAGAATCACAAACCTCGTCAAAGAAAAGTATACACGGTGAGCATGTCCTCGCACGACTAAACAATGTCCGAACTGCCAATTCACTTTCTCCAACATATTTATTCAAAAGTTCAGGGCCCTAACCAGTTAAAAAAGCCATGTCAACCAAATGGATCCTCTCAAATTATGCAAAAACATACATTGAATGTCCACTGTTACAGCGACCTACATTAATAACCCAATATTTCAATAACATTCATCGGGAAAAGTCAATGACCGACCTTAATGTGAATGAAATTTGCTCCTGCTTCATTAGCGACAGCCTTTGCTATCAGTGTTTTACCACATCCAGGAGGCCCATAGAGCAGAAATCCCGTTTCTAAATCTACTCCAAATTCCTGAAAGCACAAATCATTTCAAAATCATAATTAGCCACTTGACAGCAGACTTAAATAAATAGACGAAGGTACATGCAGGAATACAGTATGAAGCAGTGACCCAACAATATATGCCATATAATACTAAATATTCACATATAGCATGTCGTGCGATACATTAATGTCTCAACCGAGGGTAATGTTTTTATTTAAGTTTCTAAAAGTTCAGAGTGTGTTTCAGTAAGAATTACATCAAATTTCTCTGATAGTTCTTCCTGGAGATAGTCATGTTTAAGCGAAGTGTGCAACTTTTTCGATAAAGTTAAAAACAGCTAATGAAAATGTTTGGCATTCTATTCTTTTCCATAGATTAGTAAGTTCTCCAAAACATCACCCAAGCAAGCCATTTCACCAATTGAGATATGTTTAAGGTGACATGTTAGGCTCTTTTTACTTGCAATTAGCGAACGGTATTGGCTTACTAAGGAATGTGACGCCATCCTGTAAATATTGTATTTAACTAGCCAAAAATGCCGCAGAAAATATGTTCAGAAAGAAAATTGGGGTTAAAAGTAACACATACAGATGAAAAATAATTTTCTACCGAAGTATGCACCATAATCATTGAGCTATGAAGTGTGGAGAGTTGAGCATCATTATTAAAATTTAAAAGTAGAAGAAATGGGTAAAGGAGATTCATGTTGATCATCAGTGATTATTTCCTTAGATCTTTTAGATCATAGCAAGCCATTCCAAGGCACAATTTTTTAAATAAAAAATATAACTTTCTTCTACAAACACACAATGTACTAGCCATTCCGAGACAAAGTTTTGAATAAAAGAAACAAACATCTTAA